AGTCGGGGGGGCCCATAATGGTCGCCTGCCAGTGGAACAGGTCGTCGCCCACCGGACCGGCCGAGCACTGGGCCGGGGGGTCCCTCTTAAGGTCCTCCAACTCCTTCTTGATCCTCTTCAATGCCATTGTAGACCAATGAGTGAGTGGTGTGTTTAGTGTGTATACGAGGGGCACAGGTATGTGGTGTTGAGCTCCGGTATTACGCGATGAGCAGCGAGCGAGTGGTGTATTGATAGGCAATGCTATGCTCTGTATGTATGAGTCGACGGTCTGTTCGCTCACACTATGGCTGTAATAATGCGTTCACTGAAAGTGTTGAGTCCCTTAACGCACACAATGAATGCGATGTGAATGCCATAGGACTCCGACATTACGTTTGTCTCTGAAAGCCATAAACACGTCACAGAGTGTGTGCAGTGCGCCGGCGCCGTGCTATTAGCGGAGGCGCGCTGTTCACGGATTACGTTACGCGAGAGGTGTTTGCCGGTAGTTGTCGGACGCGCGACCCCCTGGTTTCCGCCCCCAAAATGATTTGCAATTCATGCTATTGTAATTATAATGTTCAATTGGGGTTTAGCAGGGTTATTTAATGAAAAAATTTATTTGTCTCATAACATAGGATAAGTTTTATGTTGTATTTTATTTGTTGTATAACTTTAAACACAGTTCAAACACTATACCCCGGCGTAAGCATTACCCCTACAATTACCCGGGTGTGAATTGTAGTTTACCCTGACCATTTAGTGGCAAATGTAATTATTTAGCAACAATGATCGATTTTTGTTTGTAAATTTTTTATTTGTTGTATAAATTTAATACTATTTTACAGTAAATTTCAATTTTAATCACTCTCTCGGGTGTCAAATGTGGCGCTAATTAGTGGCATATTTTAAACGGTTTTTCATACAAATAAAGTGTAAAACATTTGCATTGATTCGCCAAATAATTATAGATTAATTATCGTTACAAAAATAATTACTAAATATAAAAATACGATTAAAAACATCAATACAAATATACAACCATTAAAAAGTCTACACCACTCACGAGGGAAACACACAAACAGCTGTCCAATCGGCTGATCCAACACTTGGCCACCAATTAGCCAATCAATTGGCATCATTGAGCCTATACTGTCCGTTAGAGTAGACCAGCTTCTGCTCCCTCACCTTCGACTCCAAGAACTGTCTCAACTCATGAGCGGTCAGCTCATTAGCGTTGGCCGACTGCATGGCAAACATCTGCAGCATCTGATGGATCCGCTCCAATGTCAACGAATTCAGATTCTGGAGCATATTGAGCACAAAACTCCAGTACACCGACAGCTTCTCCTCCCTCTCATCGACTGCCGACGCCGTCATCTTATCGTTAGCCATGTCTTCGTCAAAATCGTTGTCCATATGCGTGTCCGCGTGGGCGCCGGTATGCGCCGACACTATCCGCTCGTCCTCTATCAGCACAAACCGGTCGGTTGTCGTCTCCTTCAGAATGCCTTTGTTTTGCCACAAAGCGATCCGTCGGCGCAGTATTGACGGCGGAATACCCATCACTTCGCACAGTTCGGTGATAGTCCACGACTGGCGCGACTGGAAGTGCCATATGATGGTCGCCTGTATGGGCGGCACGGAATACGTCAACTTTTTGCCGTTAAAGTCCAGCTCCAGCTGCACGAGACCCAAGTGGGACATCCAGTTCAGCGTACGGCTGCCTTTGATGGTCTCGAACGCACGCGTGTACTCCTGGGTCCCGGAGTCGACCTCCGGCGGCAGCTTAAGACCGCTCAAGTCCTCGATGGCCGGCAACCCGAGCTTCTCCGGCCAGAATTGGGCCGACAGTATCAGCGAATTGATGGGAAAGGCGTCTATGCGGTGCGCCTCGATCTCACCAGAATTGATGCGCTGATTGATACGCTCCGACTCTTTCACGTCTTTGAGCATCACTTCGCAGGCGTGAAGATCCGATTCGCCGAACCGGAGGGTCAGGAGCTCGAGGTTCCGGCGCTCGTGTTCCAGATTGCACTCGAAGTTCGTCAACAGCCTCTGCGCCAGCAGTCGCTGGTACTCCTCGACGAACAGATCCTTACTCTCGTAGATGTTCACCAAAATGCTGACGATATCGGAACTCCTCAGCGACTTCGAGCCACCCGTTCCCCCGTTAGTCACTTCCTGATTGGCATCTATGGGGTCGGGCACCCAGTGCTGCCAATTGTCACCGATATTCTCGTCATCGCTGGCGTAGTTGTTCTCATCGCTCGACTGGACGCCCCCTTTCACGAACTCCGGCGACAGTTCGCTAGACGTCTCGTCCGTCAGCGCCGTTATGATGCACCGGACGGTGTCGTCCCGTGACTTGAGGTACCGGCGCACCGGCTCGCACACCAACTGCAACACCACACCCGTCGGGTCCAACACCCGGAGCGCCTTAATGGCCGATATATAGGCGGCCAGTATGTCGCTGGTGCTGACGCCCGGGTGTAGGAGCCGGGTCTCCAGCGACTCCTTCAGCGACTTAATCAGTTTGGGCCTAAAGTTGGCGCACTTTTCCAGACACTCCCTCAAGTCGATCAGCGATGGCTCCGACTCCGGGTATTCGATGATAATGTCGAACATCTGTTCCATACGACAGTTGGCGTACGTCTCGTACAGGAAGTGTGTCAGCCGTTCCTCTAAGTTGGACAGACTGTTGCTGAAGGAGGACATGCCGTACACTATGCGCACCCAATTGATGACAGTGTTGTCGATCCACTTCTTGAGATTGCAGATACACGAGACCTCGAAGTTGCCTGAAATGCGCGACAATCCCACGATTATAACAGACATACTGTCACCGAAACCAGGTCTGGCCATACCTTTACAGCTCTGGTAGATATGCTTTTCGATGCACGAGTGCATCACAGACGTGATGGTGTCGCCAGACATCACTTCAATCAGTGATAATTCACTCAACTGTCGGTTGAATTGCATGAAGTCTTCGCCGATGGATCGACACAAGCATTCGATGGACTGCTGACACCCTCTGCACTTGGCGTCCATTTCGATCGATTCGGTGGACACGTCGACCGACAGGTTGTGTCTATTCTTCTGGTACTGATTCACCGAAAAGGCCAACGAATAGGCGCTTAAGAGGTACTGATTGAAGCAGACGGGTATCTCCGCCATCAGTATCGACCGCAACAGTGCCTTCATCTTCATCTGCAGTTCGCGGAACTGTTGACAATCGGAGCACAACTCGAACACTGATCTCAACACTTGGTTTTCGATCCACTTATTGGCGGACACGAAGAGCTCGTTAAAGGCGGCGAATAGGATGTCGTGAGTGGATGTCGTGGGGAAAGCGGTGTCCGAGGAGTTGGCGGACGACGAGTGGTGTCTCGTCTTGAATGGCGACCAAAACTGCGGTACGAGTTCTTCGTTGATGTATGTGTTGTACAAATCATAGTACCATTCGATGAGTACCTCGAGGAATGAGTTGTCTTTGAGTACTTGTATCGCAGTCTGGAGTTCACACGAGTTGTGGCCACTTGTTGGCTGTCAGAGTGGATACAAACATACCATTCATTTATCCATAGATCTAATTGAGTGACAATTGTCTCATTACCTCGAAGTGTGTCAAACTCGCCGACAAATAGTCCCAACTCTGGTTCAGAGATAATTCAGACATCGGTTCCCGGGTGTTAAAAGTCTTGAGCAAATGGGACACCAATTCACGCGATCACGTGATCACCGCTTAAACCACTAAAACGTGTATTAATTTTGTCGCTAAAAATCAAAACACAATTAGTTTTCACTTCAAAAGGCATTTGAAATTTAAAACAGATTTTTGAAAAACAGATGTTTTTTGTGAATAGCGTTCAAAAACAGTAAATAACGTATGGATTGAAAAGTGAAACCATAATCGGTTATCGATATCCATTGTCGTACACTTAACTCATTCACTGCCCCTTTCACACACCCACTGACACTTCACTGTCAGACACATATAACACAACAATACCATAGGAAACGCTATACACTAAAGCCTAACACTAAGGCTAACTTAGGGAGTGAACACCACTGCATACAAACCTAACGGCGTTATGCATAGGGAGTGCACTCGCACTGCAAACACACAAAACTGCGTTGACTTTCACTACTGACACCAAAGTCTACAACAAAAAGCTATTTATTGCCAAAAAAGTGCCAAAAATACGCATTTCTGGGACTCACTGACACAATACACACACCAAACACTCGCAGACACCACCCTGGTGCTAATCATCACCACCACCGCATCCACCTCATCAGCCAATACACGGTAACACTGCGGCGATTGGCCACCGATTAACGCATTTATCACTAACCCATTGAAACCCGTGTTAACGTATAGGTCATCAGTGGTGTGTCGCCGCCAACACTGCCATTGCTTCTGTGTATAAGTGTCACCAAACAGCTGATCCCTAGCCGAGAGAGCCATGCACTGGACGACACACCTGGAGGGTGGGCCCAAACGCGTGAACCACGCGGCGGTGGCTGTGGGACAGTATGTCTACTCCTTCGGCGGCTACTGTACGGGTGATAACTACGGCCTCTTGAAGCCCATCGACTGTCACATCCTGGACACAGGTATGCCATCCCATACACACACACACACGCCTACACATTCATCACCACCAACTGATCCACCCATACCTTCCCTGACCCCCGCCCACAGAGACCCTGCGCTGGAAACTGAACACCACGTCGTGCGACCTCCAGAAGCTGTGCGACCCGTCGCAGCAGCGCCTGGAGTCTGAGGTGCCTTTCCAACGGTACGGCCACACGGCGGTGGCCAACGGGGATATGGTGTACATATGGGGCGGCCGTAACGACATCTACGCCGACAACACGCTCTACTGCTTCGACACGAGCGCCGGCGACTGGACGGACAGGCCCCCGGTGACCGGCAACATACCGGGCGCTCGCGACGGACACACAGCGGTGGCCATCGCGGACAAGATGTACATCTTCGGCGGCTACGAGGAGCTCACCGAACGCTTCTCGAACGACATCTACTGCCTCGACCTCCAGACGTACGTCTGGTCGTACGTGAAGGCCTCGGGAACGCCCCCCTCGTGGCGCGACTTCCACTCAGCGGTGGCCTACGGGAACCGGATGTACGTATTCGGGGGCCGATCGGACCGGTCGGGACCCAATCACTCGCAACAGGAGCTCTACTGCAATGTTATCATGTATTTCGACGTCGCGACCAACGCGTGGGTTACGCCGGACACCCGGGGCCTGAGGCCCACCGGGAGGCGCTCGCACTCGTCGTTCGTCTATAGCGATAATATATACGTCTTCGGCGGCTATAATGGCGTCGATAGAGTCCATTACAACGATTTGTACAAATTTGATCCAAAGACCAGTCAGTGGTCGCTGATGGAAGTCCACGGGAGGCGTAGGCCGTGCGCCCGGCGGCGCCAGTGCTGTTGCGTAGTGGCCGATAGGCTGTACCTGTTTGGCGGCACCAGGTTTGTAGCGATTTGATTGATTGGGTGTTTTTCGATGTGGTTAGCGTTAATTGACTTTTTTGTTTTCCATACCTGTGCTCTCTCACCGAACAGTCCGTATCTTATGCAACAAATGGTCGGTCCGTCGCCGCCGTATTACTCGCACATAGACTTAGGACTCAGGGATCACTCCGACCTCTTTATACTAGACTTCAGTGAGTATACACTTTGCGGTTATTTTTGCACGTTTGACACCACAATTACCTACCCGTCCCCTACACTTGTCCAGCCTTTGACTATAACACAGTTTGAGTGATAAATAAGTGTTTCATTTGAGAATACGTTTGCATTTCTATATCTAATTCAAAAGTATATGAAATTATTTTGAGACAAATATTGAGTAAATATTTCAAAAATTTCTCAACAATTCACACGAATATCACAAAAGTTTTCAAATGACATAAAAGTGAAGTTCAAGTAAAAGTCAAACACAACTGTCTTCTAGACTTTCATCCACTTCTGGAGACACCACTTCCACTCGTGGACCACATGTCATGCGAAATGTGTTGAGACAGTGGTTGGGATGGTATGGGAAGCAAAGAGTCGGAGGACTGTCCTCTACTCTGCCTTCACTTCACTTCAAATCGATTCTTGAGTTCATATAAGGAATGGGACGTCAAAGAGGACGACATGAAAGGGTGCCTCAGAGGAGGGGAGGGAAGGGTATGCGGGCAGTGGTGTTGGGAGTCCAGACAGTCGGAGATGTCTGTGATAGTCCGACTGATCCCATACCCATCCCTTCCCTTCGGAGACACTCTTTCATGTCGTCTTTAACGTCCCATTCCTTCGATGAACTTAATGCTCGACTCGAAGTGAAGTGAAGGGCAGAGTAGATGACAGTCCTCTCACTGCGTGCTTCGCATACTATCCCAACCACTGTCTCAACATATTTCGCATGACTTGTGATCTTCGAGTGGAAGTGTTGTCTCCAGAAGTAGATGAAAGTCCAGAAGACAGTTGTGTTTGACTTTCGCTTGAACTTCAGTTTTATGTCTTAGGAAAGGGAGGCCTACAGTGTGAAGGGTGGTAGGGGTAGGCCAGTGTGTAGTTATCTTATTTGTTATTTCTATTATTATTTTATCTTAATTTCTAAATTTTTTTAATTTTTTGTTATAACTCGTGACGAAAGGCTCCGATTAGGACCGAAAGTACTCGAGTTTTAAGATCTCATAAATATCTTTAACTCATCGCTAAGTCTATAGAGTTATTTCATATCATATTTAATCTAAATAAATGTTTTATAAATTAAAAATGTCTTCATTTAATAGTATTAGTGCTGTTATTACTGAATATCAAACCAATTCACAGAATATTCTGTAACATTAGACTATAAAACGGAAATTTTTCTCAGAATAAGAGAATATTCTTTGTGTAAGAATTTGTCGTAACTTTTTGCTACATTCATACAAATGCTAGCCTTTTGTCAGAAAAATAGTAAATTGTTTAACGATTTTATTGAAACAAATGTCTGAAACATTAAATCCTTAACAAATACACACTAAATAATACTAACTGTCCCCTCATTACTATATGATTTAATTGACTAAACAATGCCTACAATGTGTCGATCCGTGCGCAGAGCCATCGCTGAAGACATTAAGCATTTTGGTGGCCATCGAGAAAGAGCTGATATCCAAGGATTTGCCTAAAAATATTCAGTTGGAGATCGAGATGATGACCAAAGACAACGCCATCACCAGAATCTCGCCTAACATGGGCTGACCCTCTCAGGGCTTACTCTCACACCACTACTCGCCTCTAACTTTAAACTCAATTCTTAATTATTATTAAGTTTTACTTTTTGAATGAAACGAGAATTTGATTTTTATTTTGTGAATTTTATCCAATGAATTAATTATTATTACTATTATTATTATTATTATTATACGTTATTTTGTTTTATTGTTTTAAACGCCTTTTTGATTGTCGTTTTAAAATGAGTGAAACAAAAAAAAGTTAATTTATTTTTAATTTATATTTTTTTTGAATTCGTGCTGTGAATCCGGACTTTCCATACCGAGAGTGAAAAAACAGTCATTTTTGTGTTATTTATTATATTATAAGTTGTTTTTGTTTTTTGTGTAATTATTATGATTATGATTATTGTTTAAACATATATTTTGGGCTTTAATTTACGGCCAAAACACATGACAAACACAAGTACTGTATAAACGATTGATTCAATTCAATAGCGGATTAAACTGTGATTTTAAGTGACAAACAAATAATACAAATGTATGTATAAAACAAAAAAACAAATAGTTTTTAATACGGAATTTTTTTCATTTTTAGCCCACAATTTGTAGCGATAATTACATTATAATTACGGTATACACCGGTATATATATTCAGGCTTTTATCGGATATAAAACTTATAAGCAAACAGTATATATAAAAGTATTAAACGATTAGTACCTCCCGTTCCCCCTATAGCCAGGCCTCTGGCCCGTGCTTTTCCTTAACGACGGTAAACTTGTCGACCACAACGCCTCCCTATTAGTGACAAAACAAAATTTAATTGCAAAACAAATATATTGTATTTAATTTACGAGAAACTAATAATAAAAGTATAATTATTTTCTGTTCAACTCATCGCGTACTTTATCGCTGGATATCTGCGTGAAGTCGATCACCGAGTGGTTCCACACCTTCATCTGAGTGTAGCCGTAGTCGCGGATACGTACGGCACTCCAGGGCGGGGGGTTCGGCACGAATGGGTCGATGTCTTCTTGACATCCCTTTCCCGCGACAGAAAAAAATTGATTAAAACTCCATTAATTCACAAACATTTCGACGGTTCAGCTATTGCTGGGGGAATGGCTTACGGCTGATCCGGTGATGAAATGGACGGGCGCTTTGGGGTTAGTGTAGGGATCGCCGACCGAGCCGTTATACACGTGCCGGTCATAGACGGGCCACATTTGGTTCAGCTATTGCTGGGGGAATGGCTTACGGCTGATCCGGTGATGAAATGGACGGGCGCTTTGGGGTTAGTGTAGGGATCGCCGACCGAGCCGTTATACACGTGCCGGTCATAGACGGGCCACATTCGCTCGTAGATGTGCTCGTGGGCCCAGATCTCCACGTCCACCCCGTACTGGTAGAACAGGTCCTCCAATCCGTAGGCCTTCACTACTGGTATGCCTTTCCTTATCTGATAAATAGAGAGATAACGAAATGAGATTAAAATTAAATTCATTGGCGAAACACATGAGAAATCCTATGTATTCTTGAAAAGCACTTACAATACTCTCCTTACGGGTACAGTCGTCGCTGTCATCGGTACTAATGAACAGAATATTCCGCGAGAATTGGACGCAGAATCGTGAATATTATGTCAAAATACTAGTAAATCGTTACAAGAATGTCTGTCAATTCTGTACCTGCAATACATGGGCCGGTGGGCCATCGTTATAATCCAGGGCCTGACCGCCCGGTTCTCGGGTTTTGTGGCCTCTTTGAGGTCGTTCTCCAACCACTTGTACTGAACGTCAATCTGATTCCACCCGAAGTCCACGTAATAGTAATACTCCGACGAGAATACGATGAAGTGTATGGGCCCGACATTATAGCTGTAGAAATGGTTGTTCATTTGGCCGGACGTGTGGTCAATCATGGTGAACCGATTCTCGTAGTTGGAAAAGTTGCTAGATCACGTAAATAAATAATTATTATTTGAGTTAATTCATAGCCAATTGAATACACACTATGCGGCCTCATGATTGCCAACGACTGTCATATACGGCACGTATCTGTTCGGGGTATAAATGATTGCAATTGGTTTGTGGCTCACGAGGAATGGCTCACTCGAGTGGATCACTTACGCTGCGATCGGTTCCATTTGTCTCATGTATTCATCGCCGACTCTGGCGTTGTCCTAAAAGTGATGCAAACAATCAATTAAACTCAAGGATTATACGCTAATTATAACAGAATCGACGGAAAAATACTCACGGAATCCATATCGTAGGCGAAGTCACCTTCAGATATGACAAAGTGATTACAAACTCATTACACAACGATTTAAATGCATACCGATGTGGAGGACGGCGTCGTATTTGCCTTTCGATACCTCTTTCTGAAGACTTTAGTGGCAAACAAACAACAGATTTAATACAGAATTCAATATAATAGATGAAAAAAGTTATTTAAGAATTGAATGTCAATTACTAAGGAATGGACACTCCGTTAACGTTTCCCAAATCACCGATAATCGCGAAGTACGGGCTCCAAGAGTTACCCTCTTTCATGGCCTTAAACCAGTAGACACTACTCCAACCACCGGAGTCACTGCCGCAGTGGTAGACTATATAATCAATGGTAGACACCGAGGTTAAGAATAATCTGTATATAAGTTCCTAAAACCAGTGACTAATTTAAACAACATATCTATGGCCACAGAATATTCTCGTGGTTTGAAAAGTCACTTAAAAAATTGTGGACAAATCTACAGATATTTTGCTTAAGTGGTCACTTGAGTTCATTACAATAGGTGCCATCGGGGGTCAGTCCAGTCATCACCACTCTATGGATATACATAACCCGATGTTCAGTGCCCCCGTCGGTGAACCGGTTGGCGTAGCCCTGAGTGACAGTATTGAGATCAGTTGGTGACCGACCGAACTCCACAGTGGTCTGAGGCGTGGAGTCCATTGTGACCCAGGTCACTATCATCTGAGTCGGATCCACTGGGCATCAAATGGATCAGTTAAGCAATGAATTAATAATAAAGTCATTCATATATCAAACGGATATCCATTACCTCCATATGAGAGATGGATTTGTTCAGGTTGTGTCAGCTCATAGGCATCACCGGAACTGATCCACAGACATGTACTCAACAACAGTATGAATGCAATCATTTGTTGTCGACTTTTTATTCGCGGAAATTAATTATAGTAACGAAACAAATAAATAAAATTACGATTTCTATTGCCTATTGGACTCATTGTTTCAGTTTTTATATACTTTTATTATAGCATTTTGATTAGATATCGTGTTATCATTAAAAACATGTGATTAAAATACACATTATTATTATTCATGTATCATATTCTGGTATTTAATAACATAATTTAATGCCTCATATAATATGCACCATTAGCGAGGTGAATATGATCCAGGTTCAAAGTGTTTCATTATTTGATACCAATTTTCATTCACTGAATTGTTTTATTTATTTAATTAATTGTTTGCAAAACACGTGAAATGAGACAAAAAACTTTTCTGCGGTATGTTTTGGGAAACTGATGACTATATTCCCATACGTATCATACGTTGCACCACCATCTGGCCATCATTGGGTAATCCAATATCCTTTACGCTTGATAATATAGCTTTTGATCGGAATTTTAAAATATGTTTTTAGCGATAATTACTTGAAAAACAATGAACTTAACCCTCAGAGTACTTTGCACAGTATTGTATTATCACTATACTTGGTACTTTTTACAGAATATAATTTTAGAAAACAATTTAATCGGACGTTAAATGTAATATAAAATGATTAAATTATTATTATTTTCATCAGTAAATGTATTATGTTAAAATAATGTTTATTAGTTAGTAATGTATATTATATTTTTCTATAGAATTCATTGTTTTGTATTTGTATTCAAATGAATGTTTTATTATTATTTTCTGATTAAATATTGATTTTTTGGGAACATATTATCGTAAATAACAGGTATTTTTTGTACAAAGAGAAAACTTATTATCAGTTTTTATGAAATAGTCGTACATTTAATGTGAAATAATTTATATGAAACCTTACAGCAATTTTCATTGCAGAATATTCTGTACTAAAATTCAAAGAATTTTATTTTAAGCCAGAATTCATGAGAATTTTAGCATTTATTTCAGGAGTTTATGAGAATTTATTTCATAATTTAATTCATCGATCGCTTTGTAATGCCGAGAGAGAGAGAGAGAGAGAGAGAGAGAGAGAGAGATAACTATATTACTACTATTTAATGACAAAAATGAAAAAGCTTTTAAAATAAAAGATAAATTATCACAAAAAAAACTCAACACATAATGTAAATTAAAATTTGGTTTAAAGAAAAATAAATTGACAACAAAAAAAGTTGTGGCAAAAAACTAAAAACAATAACTTATGATATATGCGTTGACTGTCTCTAACCTCTGGATCACCTGGTGGTGTCATCGGTGTCTTGGTATGAATAAACTCAACAGATATTAGACACCAACAGATAATATTCATTTCACGTGTTTTGCAAACAATTAATTAAATAAATAAAACAATTCAGTGAATGAAAATTGGTATCAAATAATGAAACACTTTGAACCTGGATCATATTCACCTCGCTAATGGTGCATATTATATGAGGCATTAAATTATGTTATTAAATACCAGAATATGATACATGAATAATAATAATGTGTATTTTAATCACATGTTTTAATGATAACACGATATCTAATCAAAATGCTATAACAAAAGTATATAAAACCTGAAACAATGAGTCCAATAGGCAATAAAAATCGTAATTTTATTTATTTGTTTCGTTACTATAATTAATTTCCGCGAATAAGAGTCGACAACAAATGATTGCATTCATACTGTTGTTGAGTACGTGTCTGTGGATCAGTTCCGGTGATGCCTACGAACTGACACAACCCGAACAAATCCATCTCTCATATGGAGGTAATGGATATCCGTTTGATATATGAATGACTTTATTATTAATTCATTGCTTAACCGATCCATTTGATGACCAGTGGATCCGACTCAGATGATAGTGACCTGGGTCACCATGGACTCCACGCCTCAGACCACTGTGGAGTTCGGTCGGTCACCAACTGATCTCAATACTGTCACTCAGGGCTACGCCAACCGGTTCACCGACGGGGGCACTGAACATAGGGTTATGTATATCCATAGAGTGGTGATGACCGGACTGACCCCCGATGGCACCTATTGTAATCAACTCGAGTGACCACTTAAGCAAAATATCTGTAGATTTGTCCACAATTTTTAAGTGACTTTTACAAACCACGAGAATATTCTGTGGCGACAGATATTTTGTTTAAATTAGTCACTGGTTTTAGGGACTTATATACAGATTATTCTTAACCTCGATGTCTACCATTGATTATATAGTCTACCACTGCGGCAGTGACTCCGGTGGTTGGAGTAGTGTCTACTGGTTTAAGGCCATGAAAGAGGGTAACTCTTGGAGCCCGTACTTCGCGATTATCGGTGATTTGGGAAACGTTAACGGAGTGTCCATTCCTTAGTAATTGACATTCAATTCTTACATAACTTTTTCATCTATTATATTTAATTCTGTATTAAATCTGTTGTTTGTTTGCCACTAAAGTCTTCAAAAAGAGGTATCGAAAGGCAAATACGACGCCGTCCTCCACATAGGTATGCATTCAAATCGTTTTGTAATGAGTTTGTAATCACTTTGTCATATCTGAAGGTGACTTCGCCTACGATATGGATTCTGTGAGTATTTTGCCATCGATTCCGTTATAATTAGCGTATAATCCTTGAGATTAATTAATTGTTTGCATCACTTTTAGGACAACGCCAGAGTCGGCGATGAATTCATGAGACAAATGGAACCGATCACAGCGTAAGTGATCACTCGAGTGAGCCATTCCTCGTGAGCCACAAACCAATTGCAATCATTTATACCCCGAACAGATACGTGCCGTATATGACAGTCGTTGGCAATCATGAGGCCGCATAGTGTGTATTCAATTGGCTAT